TAAAGAACTTCCCATGCATATCTCCCTTAAACTTTTCCCCTCTCACCTTGAAATCGTGACCCCTAGTAATTGAGTCCCCCACTCTGGGAAAAAGCTTCTTGCTATCCACCCTGTCTATACCGCTCATGATTTTGTAGACCTCAATCAGGTCCCCCCTCAACCTCCATCTTTCTAATGTAAATAATCCTAATCTACTCAACCTCTCTTCATAGCTAGCGCCCTCCATACCAGGCAACATCCTGGAGAACCTCCTCTGCACCCTCTGCAAAGCATCTACATCCTTTTGGTAATGTGGCAACCTGAACTGTACACAGTATTCCAAATGTGGTCGAACCAAAGTCCTATACAACTGCAACATGACCTGCCAACTCTTGTCCTCAATACCCTGTTCGATGAATGAAAGCATGCCATATGCCTTCTTGACCACTATCGGCCTGCGTTGCCATCTTCAGGGCACAATGGACCTGAACACCCAGATCTCTGCGCATCAATTTTCCCCAGGGCTTTTCCATTTACCACATAGTTCGCTCTTGAATTGGATCTTCCAAAATGCATCACCTCGCATTTGCCTGGATTGAACTCCATCTGCCATTTCTCCGCCCAACTCTCCAATCTATCTATATTCTGCTGCATTCTCCGACAGTCACCTTCACTATCTGCTACTCCACCAATCTTAGTGTCATCTGCAAACTTGCTAATCAGACCATCTATACCTTCCTCCAGATCATTTGTGTATATCACAAACAACAGTGGTCCCAACACGGATCCCTGTGGGGCACCACTGGTCACAGTTCTCCATTTTGAGAAACTCCCTTCCACTACAACTGTCTCCTGTTGCCCGGCCAGTTCTCTATCCATCTAGCTAGTACACCCTGAACCCCATGCGACTTCACTTTCTCCATCAGCCTACCATGGGGAACCTGATCAAATGCCTTACTGAAGTCCATGTATATGAAATCTACAGCCCTTCCCTCGTCTATCAACTTTGTCACTTCCTATCAAGTTGATAAGACATGACCTTCCTTGCACAAAACCATGCTGCCTATCATTAATAAGCCCATTTTCTTCCAAATGTAAATAGATCCTATCCCTCGGTATCTTCTCCAGCAGCTTCCCCCACCAGTCTATAATTACCTGGATTATCCTTGCTACCCTTCTTAAACAAGGGGACAACAGTAGCAATTCTCCAGTCCTCCGGGACCTCACTCGTGCTCAAGGATGCTGCAAAGATATCTGTTAAGGCCCCAGCTATTTCCTCTCTCGCTTCCCTCAGTAACCTGGGCTAGATCCCATCCGGACCTGGGGACTTGTCCACCCTAATGCCTTTCAGAATACCCAACACTTCCCTCCCCCCTCCTTATGCCGACTTGACCTAGAGTAATCAAACATCTATCCCTAACCTCAACATCTGTCTTGTCCCTCTCCTTGGTGAATACCGACAAAGTACTCATTAAGAATCTCACTCATTTTCTCTGACTCCTCACATAATTTCCCTCCTTTGTCCTGGAGTGTGCCAAGCCTTTCTCTTGTTATCCTCTTGCTCCTTATACATGAATAAAAGGCTTTGGGATTTTCCTTAACCCTGTTTGCTAAAGATATTTCATGATCCCTTTTAGCCCTCTTAATTCCTCGTTTCAGATTGATCCTACTTTCCCGATATTCTTCCAAAGCTTCGTCCATTTTCAGTCGCCTAGACCTTATGTATGCTTCCTTTTTCCTCTTTGCTAGTCTCACAATTTCACCTGTCATCCATGGTTCCCTAATCTTGCCCTTTCTATCCCTCATTTTCACAGGGACATGTCTGTCCTGCGCTCTAATCAACCTCTCTTTAAAAGCCTCCCACATATCAAATGTGGATTTACCCTCAAACAGCTGCTCCCAATCCACATTCCCCAGCTCCTGCCGAGTTTTGCTTTAGTTGGCCTTCGCCCAATTTAGCACTCTTCCTTTCGGACCACTCTCATCTTTGTCCATCAGTATTCTAAAACTTACAGAATTGTGATCACTATTCCCAAAGTAATCTCCGACTGAAACTTCAACCACCTGGCTGGGCTCATTCCCCAACACCAGGTCCAGTACGGCCCCATCCCGAATTGGACTATTTACATACTGCTCTATAAAACCCTCCTGGATGCTCCTTACAAATTCTGCTCCATCTAAACCCCTAACACTAAGTGAATCCCAGTCAATGTTGGGACCATCACCCTGTTGCTCCTACATCTTTCCACAATCTGTCTACATATTTGTACCTCTATCTCACGCTCACTGTTGAGAGGCCTGTAGTACAGCCCCAACATTGTTACTGCACCCTTCCTATTTCTGAGCTCTGCCCATATTGCCTCACTGCTCGAGTCCTCCATAGTGCCCTTCTTCAGCACAGCTGTGATATCCTCTTTGACCAATAATGCAACTCCTCCACCCCTTTTACCTCCCTCTCTATCCCACCTGAAGCATCTGTATCCTGGGATATTTAGTTGCCAATCTTGCCCTTCCCTCAACCAAGTCTCAGTAATAGCAATAACATCGTACTCCCAGGTACTAATCCAAGCCCTAAGTTCATCTGCCTTACCTACTACACTTCTCGCATGAAAACAATTGCACCTCAGACCACCTATCCCTTCACGTTCATCATCTGCTCTCTGCCTACTCTCCCCCTTGGTCACAGCGACTTCATTATCTAGTTCCTTACAGGCTTTAGTTACTACCTCCTTACTGTCCACTAACCTCCTCATTTGGTTCCCATCCCCCTGCCACGTTAGTTTAAACTCTCCCCAACAGAGTTAGCAAAAGCACCCCGAGGACATTGGTTCCAGTCCTGCCCAGGTGTAGACCGTCCGATTTGTAATAGTCCCACCTCCCCCAGAACCGGTCCCAATGTCCCAAAAATCCAAACCCCTCCCTCCTGCACTCTCTCTCAAGCCACTCATTTATCCTGCCTATTCTTTAATTTCTACTCTGACTAGCACGTGGCACTGGTAACAATCCTGAGATTACTACCTCTGAGGTCCTACTTTTTAAAACTTGGCTCCTAACTCCCTAAATTCTGCTTGTAGGACCTCATCCCGTTTATTACCTATACGTACCATGACAGCTGGCTGTTCACCCTCCCCCTTCAGAATGGCATGCAGTCGATCTGAGACATAAGGCACAGATCAGGGGTGTGAGGGATTACTCCCCACTTGCCTGGATGAGTGCAGCACCAACAACACTCAAGAAGCTTGACACTATCCAGGAGAAACCAGCCTGCTTGATTGGCACCACATCCACAAACATCCATTCCCTCCACTACTGACACTTTGTAGCAGCAGCATGTACGTTCTACAACACGCCCTGCAGAAATTCATCAAAACATTCTCAACAGCACCTTCCAACCCCACGACCATCTTCAATAAGGACAATGACACTGGAATACCACCACCTTCAAATTCCCCTCCAAGTCACTCACCACTCAATTTGGGAATATATCACCATTCCTTCACTTTTGCATTGAAATCTTGGAATTACCTCCGTAATAGCATTGTGGGTCAAACCACTGCCGGTGGATTGCAGCAGTTCAAGGGGGCAGCTCACCACCACCTTCTCAAAAGCAAATGGGGCAGGCAAGAAATGCTGACCAGCCAGCAACACCTACATCCCACAAATGAATTAAAAGAAAAATCATTGTTGGAAAAACTCACTTAGATCACTAGATGTTGTGACAATATGTGCCTTTAAGAGGGATTTGTTCTGGCCTGTTTTTCTTGAAAACAGGTGTTGTAAACCTGGCACCAAGGTGTCTGCGCCATGGAAACCAGAGTAAATAATTTTGTTTCTCTTTAAAAACTTTGATAAAAGACGCAAGAGCGGGTGGAGTCAGGCTCCCAGACCTAGAGTTTTACTTTTTCTTTCAACTGCTGGGTTTGGGAGTTGAACCTGCTAGATACACCTCTGTGCTGTTGCAAAAGGTACGAGTGCTCTCTCTGCTGCTAGATTCAGTCAGTGTTCATTCTCCTGGACAGGAGTAGGTAGCAACTGAGGGAAATTGGTTTTGCTGAATTTGCCTTTGCCAAATGCTACAATGCTGCTATATTGGAACAGTTGATATGTAGTAGTAACTACAATTACAATTTCTTCACAGTCACTGGGTCAAAATCGTAGAACTCTCTCCTTAACATCAGAAGGACTGCACCTGCCTAAGGCAGCAGCTAACCTCCAACTTCTCAACAGCAATTAGGGATGAGCAATAAATGAGAGTCATGCCAGTAATACTGGAGCACCTGAGCAACAATAAAATATTGGACAGGCTGTGGCTGTTTTCCTTGGAGCAGTGAAGGCTGATAGGAAACCTATTAGAGATGCACAAGATTATGAAGGGCATTGTTAGAGTGAACAGGATGCAATTTCTCTATCTAGTAGTAGAGGGATCAACAACCAGGAGGCACTGGTTTAAGGTATTGTTTTTAAAAATAAAATCAAAAAGGTTGTGGACCAAGACCTTGAAAGTGGGATTAGTGTAGTCTGATCTTTGTTGTCTGGCACAAGCATGCTGGGGTGACAGACATTCTGTTCTGCAAGCTTGAGACAAAGCAAAGTGTTTGGTCAACAGCCCATCCACCACCTTCAGTATTCATTCCTCCACCAACAGAAACAGTGCAAAATCTTGCCAAAGCTCCTTTGAGAACACCTTCTAAAATGTGACTTCTGCCATCAAGAACTACAGGCAGCAGATGCAACCACCAGCTGCAAATCCTCTGCAAGTTACACAGACTTGGAATGACTACACTATTACTTTGTCACGCACTCAAAATCCTGGAAGTCCTTACTTTAGTAGCACTGTGGATGTACCTGCATCACCCAGTTAAATAAGCGCTCAAAGGAAATACATCCACCTCAAAGGAGAATTAGGGATGGACAATAAGTGCTAACATTGCCTATGCTCCTATCTCAAGAGGAAGTTAAATAAACAAGAGAAAAATCATGCATGTTTCAAATATAAAAACTTTATAAATATTTCGACCTACCCAAGCTATGATTGACTGGTGACAAGGTACTTGGTGACATTTCTGCAGGCGACCCTAAAAGTGAAGGAAATAAACAAGTTCTTTTAAAACTGCATCAACTCACTTATATTGTTAATAAATACAGTCTACAATGAATAATGTTAAGCTCAATTTCCCTCTGCTTGCACTATGAACTCATTTGCATTCATTCATAAACTTGAAAAAACTCAGTGTAATAAATTACACTTTTTAATAATCATGAAGTTCACTTTCAGTTGTACAATTCCTTGCATCCGTGTTGAATTTAGCAAAAAAACCAGCATTATTTCATGTCACAGAAAGCTACTCATTTTCAGAGCACTCATTACTACAATTGTCAAACTTTTTTTATTTCCCTTTTAAGTTAAAGAAGTAAAACACCAAACTTGATCGTAAATGCAAAACATTGTTCAACACACTCAATTCTTCACTGCTAAGCGAACCAACAAATGATGATGGTTTACTATAGATTAACCAATAAATTATTTAGCCTGCAAGAAAAAAAGACTCACCTGTATCCATACTTTGGTTCATTTGCTGATCACTCGTCTCCCCATCTTCACTGATGTAGCCAGGTGGTGGCGTTTCTATTAAAAGTGAAACAGATGTCATCCTAGCCATAAAGCCAAGTTATTTCTCAAATTGATCAAAGGCATAACAAGTAACCAGAACAACTTACTTTTGTTTGTACGTCTGATATGCAAAACAGATTGAATGTATAAATATGAACTGGATAAAAACAGGGAGAGATTTTTAAAAAATTGAAAGAACTAGTACTAAATTTTCACAGATCAGGAATGAGTGCCTGAGCATGGTGTATGTGCATTTGATCTTGGTTTTCAAAGAAAATTAGATAAGCGACTGAAGAAAAAATCTGCAGTGCTAAGAGGAAAGGGTTGTTGAGCAGAACCAGCAAGTTGCTGTTGGAGAGAGAATGGACAGGGGTCAAATAGCTTCCTTCTGTGCCGTTACCCTTTTATAACTACAGATATGGAATAACATTTTAGATGGCACATGCCACATTGCACATAAGGAACACAAGGTAAGTTTGTTGTTCAAAGTCAGAATTGCCTCCAATGTCTCAACAGTCTAATGCCCAAATTGTCTTATTTTTTCCACACCAACAAACTCCTCCTTCTGTACAAAATCCAATTTGCATTTCTTCCCATTTAGCATTCCTTGGCACATCTAGATAACTTCTCCACGTTTAATACATAAAACTATATGTTCCTCACCACCTGCTTCCTATTATTAAGGATCAATGTATAACCATCTATATATTTCACCTGTAATATTTTACTTATGTCTTTTACCACTTTTATCTTGTAAAATTGTGAAAGGCAGGTCTAAAATCATATCAGCTTGCTCTTATGACTAATGCACTGTAGATAAATATCCATGTAATAAGCTAAAACAGGACAGAATTTACAATGATCAATGACTAAACTTCTCTGATGCAACACATCGTGCCAGATGCTTTTTTCTTACATTCGATGTTTAAGTAGGAGAGCTAAAAATAAACCAATTAATTACACTGCAGTTACAGATGTTGTTCTAAAATACCTGGGATATAGTTGGTCTGTGGCTCTATTCCAGCTGGAAAATTAGTGTTTTCAGGAATGGAATGTGTGTAGTCATCGAGTGGGGGCAACTCTGCTGGAATTTCTGTATGTCGTGGCACCAATACAGGAGGCAAAACTGAAATGAAAAGTAAGCATCATTAATTTTTCTGTAACATCAGACTTCTCCCCCAGTTGCACATGGTGCCACAGTTACAGAATATTGCAGTATGAAAATAGCATAAACATGCTAGATAGGTATTGTATTTATTTAGAAATATCCCTAGAAACTTTTCACCACAAATTCTTGGAACTTAGCATTAACAGGAGATACCACATTTCTTGACCTCAAAAACGTGCAACAATTCCCACTCAATGTCCACTGATGGCTTCAAAGAATTTCATATTTGAAGTGTAAAAGCATAATTAAACCAAATTGATACAGCACCTGACCTTCCAAAAACTGACAATACTGATCCCTACTCTTCAAAGTAAAGCAAAATATAAAAAAAAACAATTAATATTCTTCATTCAAACATCGACAAATATATACTTAAAATTAAGTGGGCCATTTCTTCAAATGCTTTCTTTCTCAACACGAGAACTCCTCAGCAAAGAGTCATGAAGGCGGCATTGTGGCTCAGTGGTTAGCATTGCTGCCTCACAGCACCAGGGACACGGGTTCGATTCCACCTTAGGGTGACTGTGTGGAGTTTGCACATTCTCGTCGTGTCTGGGCACATTTCCGCCAGGTGCTCCGGTTTCCTCCCACAGACCAAAGATGCGCAGGTTAGGTGGACTGGCCATGCTAAATTGCCCGTAGTGTCTAGGGATGTGTAAATTAGGTCGATTAGCCATGGGAAGTGTAGGGTTAGGGGATGGGTCTGGATGGGATGCTCTTCAGAAGGACAGTGTGGGCTTGTTGGGCTGAATGGCCTGTTTCCACACTAAGGATTCTATGAATCAGCATCATGAATCTGAGCAGAGTGGAAGTCCAAAGACTACTCTGGTGAAAGACAAATAACTTAGCAGACACCATTAGTCTGGAGGATGTCAACACCACCAGATCATCACTAGCCTTTGAATGATTCAGGTGGCTTATACACAGACTTAGCTTGCATTGTCGATGACTGCAGTGGGCAGGTGATAACCTGCAAGACACCACGTATATGCTGATACTCCAGTTGCAGGGCGACACTGGAAGCAATTCACATGACTGCACAATGGTGCTGAAGTGAAGATGGACAAGAGCATCAAGTTGCTGGTCACCAACAATCTGTCCTGGTCCACCCACAATTGACACCAACAGTCAAAGTACATTAATGTCTCTACTTCCCCAGAGGACTAAGGAAATTTGGTCCCCAAGGATTGTTACCAATTTTTTTTTTTTTTTTTTTTTTTTTTTTTAAAAAAATAGGTGTACCACTGAAAGCATCCTACTCGGATACATCACAGCATGGTATGGCAACTGCTCTTTCCAAGACCACAAGAAACTACAGAGTCGTGGAACGTGGAACGTGGAACGTGGAACGTGGAACGTGGAACGTGG